GTCATAAAAATTTCTTATGACGAAAGTTCCAATGAACTCTCGTCATCGAATTCTCCTATGACGAAAGTTCATACCAAACTCTTGTGTATGACGAAAGTTCCTTTTTATGACGAAAGTTCCGGATACCAACTGTTTTTGCATGCTTATCAGCGGTTAGGGTCATCCATATATGTTTTTATCGAACAACAGTCGATTGAAACTCTCTGCCAGAATAAATGGTAACCGCTAGAACAGTCTCTTCTTTCAAAACAGCACTAAGAGTATATCGTGAACTTGAACTTGAAAGTTTATCTTATGTCCAAGAAAACATCTCGTAGCAAAGAAAAGCACAAAAAAACCAAAGGCTTGTAAATACAGTGCCACCACGTGGAAAAGAGAACAACCGTGAGAAGAGAGTATAGAAGCAATCTGCACAGCTGAATAATCTTTTTATCTCTATTATTATCATCGTTATGCTTTTCTGTATTTATCTTACTATTTTGACTGTATTTAGTTTTAAGACAGTAGTTTAGTTGTTATTGTTATTTTTTTTTACTCCTCTTCAATGGATGTGTTCTTCTTTTCCTTACAGGTGGTACCTTTTTACAAGCCTCCGGCTTTTTGTACTTACCTACGTGTATATTAGTTTCTGCAAGATTATTTTCTACACATGAATAACGTTCAAGGCCAAAGTAACATCCCTCCTTTCTGTCCAGAGTGGCAATTTTACTGCCTATCTGCCTGGCTAATGCCCTATATTGAATATTCCTGAGTGCACTAACTGAATTTCAAACTCTGTGAAACTGCGCATTTTTGTGGATTTTGTAGCTTCGATAAAACCGTCAACTAAAAAGTATGACGATTTGTACGGTTTTCCTCTTCAAGCTTTTATTTCCATTGTTTTCCTTTGGCAAACTGTCAGTTCATGCTTTTATTTCTACAGTTTTGAGCTTTATAATATTTATTTATGGTTTTAATTTCACAGTTCTCAAACTAATGGTTTTATTTTTATGGTTTTACTTCTATAGTTTTTCTTTTATACTTTTGAATTTCACAGTTTTCTACTTCATGGCTCTTCTGCACGGTTTTCTTTCAATGGTTATGTATTTCACGGTTTTTCTTACGATTCTTTTAACCTTGTGGTGCAAAGAATTTAAAATAAAAAAATGGAGAACTTGAAATTTAAATTTCAAGATGTAAAATTCATATTTTTTGTTTTAAATTTTAAAGTTGATTTTTGTTATCAGCGTTGAAAAACTGCATCAGATGATACATGTTTACCGTCTATTTTTCAGAAAATAAAAAACCTCCTTTCATCACGTTGATTGAACGTTAGCTATTTTCCATGTATAGATGTTTGAAAAAAAAATCTGGAATTGTAAAGAAACTTTTAGCCTCTAGTTTTTCAGAGAAATCGTGCTATATATACCTTTTGCTGCTATTTGTACATCTTGATTATCTGATTTTTCTTGTTCTTTAACGTGTTCTAGAAAATCTTTATCATCTTTGAGACCATCAAGTGCTTCTTGATTGAATGACATCGAATAGAGTATTTGCATTGGCGCTGGGTCATCAACTTTAGCTATTGAAGTTTTAATGATTGTTGGTAATGCATCATGATTTTTAACCAGCTCATTTTTTATGTCGTCATGGTCAACAAGGTCTGAAAAAGAAACAAAAACAATTCAAATCTTCTTGCCGGTTATTTTCTTAATTATAGATATGGGTAAAGACTATCTTTACCAATAGGATAAAAGGAGTGAGAAAAAAATGATTATTTTTTTCATAATTTTAAAAAACCTCAGTTTAAAAACGGTGTTTAATCGATTTGAACCTTTAAGGCCGATCTGGCAGGGACGTCCCAAATCGAGTTTCTAAAATGCGCCCACCTAATTTTGAAAACCTATCTAATGTTTGTGTTAAGGATTAAAACTATTATTTGCATGCCATGGTATTCGCTGAAGTGTCGGCTTCAAAAGTATAACTCATGTTTTTTTCAAATTTTGTTTCATTGCTAAGAAAATTCATATTTTCTAAATGAGAGGCGAAAAAGTTTGATTCCAAATATGATATTTTTATCATATACACGTTGAGTTCTGATCGAGAATTACGGGCAAAATTCCAACTTTTTAGGAAAAATGAATGAAATTTGAAAAAACGCGAGTTATACTTTTGAAGCCGACACTTCAGCGAATATTATGGCATGCAAATAATAGTTCCAACCCTTATACAAAAACTATTATCCACACCGAAAAACAGTTTCTCTGGCTATTTTTTGAATAACTTGTGATAAAAAAGAGCTAGAGAGCTCCAGTTTGCGTCCTGGTTATCGTCTCATCGAAAGAGGAGACTTGGAGACATGTTTTCGTAACCAAAATTGTTTTCAAAAGGGTTTTCTGAAACAGGTTTTCTAGGAGATCTTTGGAAAATTAGACCATCTGAAAAAATTTCCCGATGCGACTGTATTCCTTTTTTATCATAGGCTGATAGCCCGGGGTGTTCTCTTCAAAATGGAAGTAAAGTGAGACCTTGATTTTCTGCGGTTCGGACGTTATATCGGCTTTTCGACGAGTGCCAGGACTGGCACTCGGTGACTCTTGGTAGCCTTAAAGACGGAT